TCTCTCTCTCTCTCTCTCTCTCTCTCTCTCTCTCTCTCTCTCTCTCTCTCTCTCTCTCTCTCTCTCTCTTTTGTGCATATGGCTGCACATACAGGTGTTGGACCGATTGCTGAGGGCACCGCTGGAGATGACATGTGTGACATTCTTTTTCCGCTATCCAGCAGCTCTTAAAAGGATAGACTGGTTGGGTGAGTTCTACGTGTTGTACAATCTGACGCTGAACCCGGCAAGCAATCCGCCAATGAACAAGACGGGCCTCATTTCCAAATCCCTTGTTGCCTATTTCTCTGACACGGGGAATTCCACCTTGGAAAGCGAAGCTTGCTTCATTCGGGACAAGAGGGTGCGGGATCTAGAAAATTCGCCTGAGCGCTTCGAGCAGGGTGGTGTTATATTGCCAGAGAACAAGCGAAGCGATTTCAGCCTTGTGAGGCGGGTCAGAAAATTCATAGCCGGCGTGCACTCGGTCCAGTACATGGTCGATTCAGGTGGAGTTGTTTCCTACGATGTCCCAGAGCCTGGTCTTGTCGGGTCCTTGGCAGCGGAACATGGTAACCTTTCTGTCGTGGCGAATGGGCTTAGCGGTGTGCTAATGAATGTCGGGATTAATTTCGACGAGATTGGGGAGAGGGAGACTGACATTCGCACAGGGTTATTCACTCTACTGGGAACTCTCGGTGGGCAGGTCACCTGGTTCACAGCCGCCCTCGCATTGATTTTCATCGAAGAACGGGATGGGCCGTATATGACCATCTCCTTTCCATTTAGAATGCTATTAAAGTTGTTCTACAAAGCAATGCGAAAAGAAGATCGCGCACGCCAAAGTTCTCTTCGGGCCGACCCTTCCGGCGGAGAGGAGGTGTTCTGAGCGTAAGTAGCGTGCATTCACTGCATCAATGAGCAAAGGATGAAGAACATGCGCGCGGCCAAGATAGCTCGCAGTCGGTATCGGGAATCTGCACAGGGGATGACGAAGAGGAGCTGGCACAAGCAACCAAATTGGAATTGTCCTAAGTTAGGTTCAACTGCTTTTCAAATTCATCATCATTAGGTTTATAATCATTTATTGTATGTAGATTAACCTCAGAATTGTGGTTTGGTTTGCTGCAACCTTTCTTTTGAGTTTAATCTGAGATGGAGGGGGAGTGTGCAGGCTCTTTGTCAGGTATTCTGTCATCCTTGCCGCCGAACTCACCAAATGTGAAAAGGACAAAAAACTGATTCCCCCCCTCCTCCAACCTCTTCTTCTTCTTCTTCTTCTTCTTCTTCTTCTTCTTCTTCTTCTTCTATCTCTGCTGGTTTCTCTTTACCCTGCAAACGAACCTTTCTGCCCCCATTTGAGGAGATGCATCACATAATGAGGGGCCAGCATCTACCCCCATCGGGAGGAACACTGTACGGTAAAGTGGGAGGAAGGCACATACCCGCCAGTGAGAATCTGACGAGAAACTAGGAACTACTGGCTCAATTGCCTGCCGTCTTCACCCGAATAGAACGCCCGGTCTTTTTTTTTTGTTTTCTTTTCTATGTTGGGCCATCGCCGGGCCCGGCACGCCCAGGCCAGTTGGGCAGACGGGGGGTCGCCTGACAAAACCAGACGGGTCAAAAAAGAGGCAAGGATCCAAAAAAAAAAAAAAAAAAAAAAAAAAAAAGACTTTACGCCAGGACTGAGGTTGGCCTAAGCGGTCAGAATCCGGTCTTAAACTGCTAGTAATCGGCCCCAGCCTTGCAGAAAGCTTTTGTCGCCACAAGCAAAACTCGGAGGCGCCGCACCGCCAGGCCCACGGTTAATGAAAAACAAAACGGCGGCCACCAAAGTGATGCAGGTTTCATGCTGACACCCGCGGGCCTATGTGTGGTGTACTGGTGCTTTAACTTTGGTTTTGGTGATGGGTCATCCAGGGGGGTTTGGGGGGTATAAACAGTGACTAAAGGGGCTAAAAGGGTACATTTGGACTCATGTTTTCTCATTTATTTTTATCTTAAAATTAAAAAGGCATTTCCATGTGTCATTTCTAGGTGTCCCTCAGCCGAAAGTCGTTTGTAATAACTTTGTATTGCAATTTTAGACAACATTTTTTTTTCCGTATTTTTTTGTTTTTTTTTAATTTTCTCTTTTTTTAAATATTATGGGCTGGGATCGCCCGGGCCCTGCTCGGCCCGGGCTGCCTGGGAGGGTACCCGGGCGACCTTCCCCCAGCCGGGCCTCCGGGGACTAACACTGTTTCTTTATAAAAGAAAAAATTGACCATTTCTCAATTTATGTGAGCCATCCTTGCACAGGGGCCATGCTACTCTTCTCTGCCTTGTTTTAATTCCATAGTTGCGGCGCACCAGTGCGCAGTGCGGGGCGGGGCGGGGCGCACTGCGCTGTGCGCTGGAATGACAGTGCGCGCACTGTGCGCAGTGCGCAGTGCGTTCTGCTGGGCTCGGTGCGCGTGCTGAGGGAGGTGCGCCCTGTGCGTGATATAAATTAAAAAAAAAAAAAAAAAAGCAGGCCCCCGGGAGAGAGAGAGAGAGAGAGAGAGAGAGAACAAAGGGTCCCCTTCACGTCAATTCGAGGGCCCCTGCAGGTACCTCGAATGACTCCTACGTTACATGTGGAGTCATCGAGGACGACTGCTTCAATTAGGAGGATGGTCTCGTTATCTGTGGAAGAGGTAGGGCAGACCACCAATATATGCTTTGGATTCGAGTTCAAGGCTGTAGCTCGGCAGTTATGGGTCACCAATTCAGCTAGAGCCTGTTCGTGTCTCCACATGATTCTCAGGGCCTCCCTCCACCACTCACCAAATGTATACAATATTAGTAGAATGAATCTTCTGCTAAAACATGGAACCATACACCGCCATATGCTATGTCTTTTGTGCATGTGGTGAGTAGTGGAGCAGGCCCCACTGTACGTATTCGTAAGAAAACAAAAACAAAAAAANTTTTTTTAAACAACGGGCCCAGTGCCCAAGGCTGATATTCCAAATGATAATATTGAGGCCGGGGTCCTCACAATCTGCCCAGAGACACCGAACCAAAAACACCAATTCTGAATGATGAAAATGATACTGCCTCTTCTGCAGAACAAGATTACAACTATGTAGTATCACCTATTCTAACCTCCCAAACCTAGATAAACACCTAGTCCTCCTTATACCAGAACAAAGTTACCGAGAAACAATATCTACCTAACTAACATCACCCATTGCTGCTCTCTTTTCGCCACCTCGCAGCCCCCCCCAATTCGCCTCTGAATTGCCTTCCTCCCTCGGCAACACCCAGATCTCTCTACAAGGCCTCGCGCTTCTGCGATTTGCAGATTACAGGGCAGCACCCCAGCTCCGGTCAGCGTCGTTCTGGCATCGGCAAACCAGGGGCACAGAACAGAGCAGCGCTGTTGACATCAGGCCAGTTTCCACCATCTCTGAGCGCCAATACCCCGGATATGGACAACGACCAGATACTTATCATAGTCTAGAAACCCAGAAACAAATGATACTACGGATGATGATGATGATGATGATGATGATGATGATGATGATGATGGGTGGTTAATCTGATGAAACATGCATTGTCAGTACGCCTCTTAGCCCTCCCTATCTCAAGACAAAACATCTCAGAGACAATGCCCTCCTAACCATTACCCACCATAGCTGACCTGTTCTTGCCACCTAGACTATCCCTAGCCCCATTGGGTTATCTAGGCAGCCCCCCCAATTAGCCACTGAATTGCTTTCCTCCCTCAGCAATCCCCAGATCTCTCTACAAGGCTTCATGCTCCCGCCAATGCAGGTTACAGGGCATTACCCCAGCACCAGTCAGCGTCGTTCTGGCATCGGCTGATCAGGAGCTCAGAACAAGACCAACTCTGCCGATATTGGTCCAGAATCAATCACCTCCAACACGCTTTTATCCCGAAATAAGAAGGAATGCCAAAAGACGCCGAGAATCTCAGATCACCAGATAGACATAAAAGAAGATGATGTCAGTCTCCCCCCTCCACTTCTTTCCTCCCTGTCTCATCATTGCCTCCGCCAAAACAGATGACCCAGACTACAGGCCACCCATCACAGCCCCAACTTTGTGACAGACCCCCCTTCCCCCTTCTCATCCCAGAAAGGCATCCAGTTCCCTCCCAAAGTATGCCTCTGCCCACCATTTACCCTACTCTGCCCCCGCTGGTGTGAGTAACCCTCCCACCAACCCCAGACAGTGGAGTGAACGCGGGATACATCGGTGAAACTCCGAGAAAACAGTCTGTCACAGGCCCTCGTTTGTTGTCCTCTTCTCCCTCTCTGTACTGGGCAGTTCTGCTTGACGATATGTATCATCAAACAGAACTGCCCGAAGAAGAGGACAACAAACGAGGGGCTGTGACAAACTGTTTCGTTGGGAGTTTCACCGACTCATGAGGAGGCTGCACCCTCAAAAACAATCTGCAGAATCCCCTAACTGATTACACTGTAAGCGATAATCCACCTTAACCCCGGTTGTGGTTAAGCATCAACAACTGCCCGACAATATATAATTTCTTCCCCCTATGGGCCGCGGGCTGCATACGTGGCGGCCGCGGGCTGCATACGTGGCGGCCGCGGGAGGTTCCCTGCCGTCGGATTTTTGATCTACGGCTGTCCTCTACCGGGCAACTTTCCACAACCTCAAATGGCTGCCACATACATGATTTCCTGTGATCACGGCAAGCCATCAGATCAAGAAATGTGAGACATCCAATGTAAAATCTGACCCGCCTGTCGCGGCGTGACAATATCTTCGACGTTTGATGTGATTCAGATCTGCGGCTGTGTTTTTCCCCCATCTTCACTTCCGTTTCGCTTTGTTCATTTTCGTTTTTCATTCTTTTTGAAAGGAAGACGGGAGCTCGAATTCTGCATGGTGCTCTTCCAGTAGTGTGGAATGTGTGTGGGTTCTGGAGTGTACGTGCTCTTCATTTTTGTTTTGGGATTCCTCTCCTTCATTCATGGCGTGGTAGGATGTCAGACCCAAATCTGACACCACGGCTGGCACCACCCTCGGACGCTGTTTGAAAAGAAGAAAAGCAGGGGCTCGCTCCACTACACAACACTGTACAATGTACATGCATTTGGACGTTTTCTGAAAACGATACATTCAAAATGTTGGACACCTCCGATGCACTTGGGCCAGAAAGCATCCTAATGCATGAGTGTTATGTAGTGGAGTGAGGCCCATAACGAGCCCGATGCATTTTAACATTTTCTGTGCGGGATACATTCAAAATGTTGGACTCGTTTGAATGCACTTCATCGAGAAAGAGTCCAAATGCATGTAGTGTTGTGCAGTGGAGTGAGGCCCATAACGAGCTCGACCGGCTGAATAGTACACCGCTGAACTGTTCACAACCGGGCCTGTGCTCGAATCTTGCCGGGGAAATACCGCCGCTTGATTGGCTACACACCCCCTGGACTGAACTGTTGAAATACAGACCAGGTGCTGAGTTCGAACTCCACTGGAAGCAAATGAATAAAATAGTAAAAATACTACAATCCTGAAATTACCTTGGGCCGGGCAGTTCGATGATCATATCTCAAGACCATCACCCTTTATTTAAAAAAAAAAAAAAAAAAAGGAAAAAGAAATACTGCCGCTCAGTTTGATAATGGGTCTCGCTTCGCTACTCTCCAAATGTTACAATGAGACTGAATCATGGGTTAGAACATCGAAAGATGCATTGCCATATTTTCTGTCTTCTGTGAGTGTGGAGAGCAGTGGACCCAGGCCCAATGATACCTCTTTTTTTCTTTTTTCTTTTTTTCTTGGTAAAAAATTAAAAATGCAATCAGACTCGACTTCAGACTTGCTCACAACATGCATACACAAGAACCGATGGCGAAACCAAATTCTTAACTCAGAATTAACAGTGAACTTGCACTTAAACTCTGTTCAGAACAACTGTACAACTTGCGGTTATGGCTGCTGAACACTGTCTCAACCACCAGCCTTGCTCTCCCTCATGCACGCGCGTACGAGGATCACCCTGAATGTCCACGCTGCACAGACACACACACTGTCCACACTCTGCCTGCACCAACAGCTGGGCGGCTATGCCGCCGGTGTCTTCCTCACTGGCCAACTATGGCCGCCGTCTTCCTCACTACCCACTTCCTCGCCGGGCACCTGCAGACCTCCACGCACAAGATACCAAGGCAGCTCTTTCGCATGGCTCACAGGYGAATGAATGAATGGCTGGACGCTGCCTCTTTATTTATACTTCCTCGGAGGTACCCGGACCCTGCCTCCAGACCTGTGGGCCTGGGCCAAAACGCGTGAAGCCCCAGGTCTGGAAGTTTCCAAACTGTGTGACCTGGGCCAAACCGTGTGAGGCCCGGGTCCGGAAACTTCCCAAAACGTGTGGGCCTTTGGCACTCAACCCGCGTGTGCAGGCCCCAAAACGCGTATTCTGGAGACTTCTCCAGAACGCGTGGGCCTTCCCTTTTCCCCACGTGCAGCCCCTTTCCCAGGTACTTGCTGGCTGGACTGTCCTATAGGGACCTACGACCTTCTAGACCCTACGGACCTACAGACAGCTTCCAGACCTACGACAGACTCAGTTAGAGACTTCTAGAACAGACTTTACTAAGCCTACCGGTAACAGACTCAACTTCTAAACTACAGACTTAGGGATCAAGTCCTACTGTCCGACCTACAGACTAGCCTAGGACGTAGGGCAGGTCTAGGGATCGAATCCTACCCAGGTCACGGGGTCTATGTACAGGTACAGGATAGGTCTAGGGATTGAATCTCACTCAGCACACAGGTTCAATGTACAGGGTTAGGGCACA